GTGAATATACTATGTATATAACCAAAGATATGAAAAATGTGCTCTATATATGTAATAAGTATTGTAATTCATTCTGCTGTCATATATAAATAAAAAATTTACATAAAAAAGAAAGAAGCATAAGAAAAATAGAACAATGAACCATGAACTAGGGACCAAAGGCTACAAGAAATAGTAGTGAAAAACCAGCCTCTATCTCAGAGCAAAGCCTGTCCAAGGAAGGGACATGGCCTTTGTCCTTGGAAAAACCCACAGAGCACTCCTAAGCACATTCCCACCCTGCTAAGTTATTTATCTACAAATAACAGAGAGATCTGCTGCGCCAGGTGTCCCTGACTCAGTCAGGCTAGGTGGGGACCTATAGCAGCCCCCTAGCAGCCACCAATCAGCATGAGTCAGGGAAATACCTGGGATGCCAGATGACCCTCCTAGTAGTTTATGGTGGCTGATAACATATTGGGAAACCATGTAGTTCAGCACGTACACCCCTCTTGGCTTAAACCAATCAGTTCAAATGAATACCCCTTTTGTACTGACCAATCACCCCTACCTAACTTGTTCCCGCCAGTGGATGTGCTAATCATGCTTTAGAGTTGTTGTTTGATTTTCCCTCGGAGTGAGGTTATTTGTTATGCTGTATGTGAAGTCCCTGCCCTTTTCAAAGAATGTATATAAGCTCTGCTCAAGCTGTTCTCGGGGCTCTTTGCTCTTTGCTCCTCCGAAGTGAGCTCTGAGCCCCAGCATGCTGGACCCCCAATAAACCCTTTGCTGTTGCATGAGACAGTCTCTTGGTGGTCTCTTCCTCCAACGCTCACCCGACCTTTACAGTAGGAACAATGAGGCATATGAGTATGTACAATAAGGCTATGGAAAAGATTAAAAAGCCAGAAAAGACTAAAATTTGGCATTCATATTTTAAGAAACAGTTGCTATTGGGTGTTCATTGAAGCAGTTTTGTCTGCTGAGGGGGAAGGTTGGGATCTGGGGATATAATGATGTTTTCAATAACATGATTATGAAATATTGTTTTGGTGTTCCTCCATTGTGAGGTAGCTGTGTTTCCAGAAATATCAATAAAAATTAACTAAGGAAAAAAAGAGGCTGGGTATGTAGCTTAGTGGTAGCTCACCCTTGGGTTCAATCCCTAGTACCAAACAAACAAGAAATCAACTGAGAGTTCATATCTGATCTACTGAATCATTGTCTGCATTTTGACAAAATTCCAGTCCATTAAGATGCACCAGAAGCTTTAAGGAGCACTCATATAACCCATAGATCATTGAGATAATTTTATATTACTTCTCAGGCAGACCCTACTGCAAGGATTAAGATAGGATAGTGGGTCAGCTTTGTGAAGTAGTTCAGTAATTGCTTCATATACTCCAGGGTAATAAAAGCAGAAGAAATTTGAATTTTATCACTTTTTAACACCCCTTCCTCTAAGATATCTCCTGTAATCCTATTCTGTTGTCCTTCTTCAGCCTAACTTTAAAGAATCTGAAAAAGGGCCAGGGGTTGTGGCTTAGTGGTAGAGCACTTGCCTAGCATGTGTGAAGCACTGGGTTTGATTCTCAGTACTGCATAAAAATAAATGAATAAAATAAAAAGTCCATCCACATCTAAATATATATATTAAACAAATCTGGGCTGGGGTTGTGGCTCAGTGGTAGATCGCTTCCCTAGCAAGTGTGTGAGGCACTGGGTTCGATCGATCCTCAGCACCACATAATAAATAAATAAATAAATAAATAAATAAATAAAATAAAATAAAGATATTGTATCCATTTAAAAAATAGTTTTTAAAAATCTGAAAAAGTTATTCACCCTATAGTACATTCAATTAGAAAATCCATTTTTTTATTTATTCAAAATCAAACATTATTTAGCTGTCTATCATGCTCCAAACAGTGTTATACAGCAGGAGATGATAAACTAGCAGTAGAAAAAGAGAAGGGTAGTGGGAGGAATTAACTATTCAGGAGATCATATTGCTAGACGACAAGGTACTGGGGAAGCTGGGGTTGAAAGTGTGTAGAGATATTTTCCGATATTTTCTGTTTGCTGACACGTAAATGAGGTATGGAAGAAAGGAAGAGTAAGGGTACGTCTAGGGAGAGAGAAGGGGGTTAGCATGCTGAGTTAGACATTTACATGCAGGAGACAAGCAGAACTAACCAGGAAAGAGACAACTGATCTAGAGGAACAGTGTGGGGGTGCGTAAATGGCTTTTTCCTCCAAGTTCAAGCAGAGAAGAAAGGAGAAGGCCCTCTAAATGATCCATGTGATGGTCAGCTTTTGTCACTGTGACCAAACTACCTGACAACCACAGCTTAGAGGGAGAAAAGTTTATTTTGCCTCATGGTTCCAGAGGTTTAGTCCATGGTTCCCTGATTCCACTGCTCTGGGCCCAAGGTAAGGCAGAACATCATGGCAGAAGGGCATGGTATAGGAAGGCTGCTCCGTTCATGGCAGCCCGGAAGCAGAGAGAGGGAAAAGGGGGAAGGGGCTTCAGGGAAGATGATCCCTTCCAGGGCACACCCCCAGGGATCCACCTTCTCCAGCTATGCCCCACCTTCCTACAGTGACCACCCAGTCAGTCCATTCAAACTAGGATGGACTGATTAGGTTATAGTTCTTATAAGTCAATAATTTCACCCTGAAATATTTCTGCATTAACACAGGAGACCTGGGGGGGGGCGGGGACACTTTGTATCCAAATCATAACAGTTGGCAAGTTTGAGAAGTCTCAGGTTGACACTGCACTCTTCTCCCTCCTGGAATAGAGTTCAGGCACATTCTTCTCATACCCTATCCCCACTCTGAAGGCACTTCCCCTCAGGGATTGGGAATGGATGTGACCACTCCAACCCCTCATTTGTTGCTGTTTCTGGACATCACAAATATGACTTTGGATTTGGGGTTTTCACACCAATCCCTATAGGAAATGAGAAGATGAGAGAAGTTGGAACAATAACCAAAGTGGTCTCTTGTGTAGTATTTCTACTAGGAGTAATTAGATCTTCTGAGCAATTCAGCTTGGCACCTTTCCTAGACACCAAAAGTGCCGCTTGGGAATTCAATGGGAAAGGAAACTTTTGTTGGCTGACTCTGTTGAGGGTAAAAACAAAGGGAATCCTAGTAATGAAAAGGATGTTATGTGTTTTCTTCTAGGATTAATAGCTTGCTCTCTGTTTTTTCTTTTCTTTCTTTTAGTTTTGTTTTTGTGTTTCGTTGTTTTGTTTTCTTCAGTCTTACTTGTTATTCTCTGGGGACCTAGTTCTGGCTCTTGTACAGAAACCCCTGTCTCCAGATTGCAGTCTGTGAGGTCTCCTCATTGCTTTGGAAAATGAAATCAGAGACTCCAACCTTTGGTATTCTGAACACAGGCTGGAGAACTCAAACAAATGAATTCCAAATGCTGTTCTGGGCATGATGAGTAACAATTCCTTACACTAATCTGAATATAGAATTTATGTAACATTTTGTGCTGATAACGTATCACCAACCAGACAAATGGCTCATGGCTTCTCTACTTTTTTTTTCCTCAAATGATATCAATATTCATTTTCTCTTTTTAACAAAGGCAGGGGAAAAATTGACCATCAGTTTTACAATGTTTACCCTTTAGCCTTCCTTAGAAAGTTTTTGCAGCACAAAACAAAGCTGCAGAAAAATTTTTTTTCCAGCAAAACTTAGTAGGGAGAGGACTGATATGAATCGTTTTTCAACTTGTGATGCTTTATCCTCAGTGATGGGTTTCCAGGTGAAAGTCATTTTTCCTGAATTATCAGAACAATTGTTGGAATGTGACTTTGTTTATTGGGAAGGCTTCTGGGGACTTCTTTTGAAATTTTTAAGTTAGACACAAACATCTGGGCATGGTGGTGCATACCTATAATTCCAGCTACTTGGGAGGCTGAGGCAGGAGGATCCCAAATTCACAAGCCTGGAAATTTGGTGAAACTTTGTATCAAAATAAAATATTAAAAGGCTGGGGACATAGCTTCATGGTAGAGTCCCCCTGGGTTCAAACCCCAGTACAGCAAAAACAGTGCAATTTCTTTACATGTATTCATTTAATGACATTCCTTGATACCTGTGTTAGACACACTGTGCTTGTGAGGCGGGATCATTACTCTTGGGAAATACATGTTCTAGGCATGAGACAGATATGCAGTGATGATATTTATGTGGTAAGTGATGCAACAGAATTATGTAAAAAGGGTCATAAGGATATGGAACCAAGAAGCTCTAATTTGGGGGGCCGGGGAGAAGGTGAATAAGAAAGGGTCATAGTGGGGGTGACATCGAGGCAGGGACTTAACAGATGAGTAGGAGAATGGCCGGTGGCATGGGAGGGAAAGATGTTTCAGGCAAAAGGAACAGAATTAGAAAGGCCTGGGATGAAGGTGTGTACATATGAAGGGTGGAGTTTGTGGGACCATATTGTGATTGTCTTGTGGGTGAAGCCAAGGAGTTTGGGTATTATCTTAGACAGAGTGCTGAGGTGCAGGAGGGTTTCATCACTTGATTGCTGCTTTCATTGTTAAGAAAATGTCTAGGGCTGGGATTGTGGCTCAGCGGTAGAGCACTCGCCTGACCCAGGTTTGATTCACAGCACCACATAAAAATAAAGGCATTGTGTTGTGTCCATCTACAAAAAAAGATTCTATCTATCTATCTATCTATCTACCTACCTATCTATCTATCTATCTATTATCTATCTCTATCTCTCTCTTTCTCTCCTTTCTCCTAAAAAGAAAAGAAAATGTCTAGTACCTTTATTTTTAGGGTAAGAAAATCCCCATAGGAACTTATTCCCTAAGATTCACCTTCCCTTTTGAATGGGTCTTTGGTCATTAGTACCAACATTTTAATCATGACTTAAAGAGCTTTATGAACCAAGGGAGATGAGAACTCTCCCAGTGATACAGTGATTTCCCAAGATCTGATAAGGATATCAAACAAGATTTTGATTCAGTGGTTAACTGACTCAAAAGGACATTAAATAAGATTTTATTAAGCTCTAATTCTACAAAAATAAATGAATAATATGATAACATAGTATAAGATGCAGCTTGCTCTCAGGGTATGAAGGTCTCGTTCCATCCAGCTCAAGGGCAGCCCTTTTTGGGTGTACTTCCTGTTTTTGCAAGCAAATGTATCTGTACCTGTGAGATGGGGGATAGAGAGACCAGAGACAGGGAGAGATGTTAATGGCCCGGGAGCCGGATGTATTGTCTTTGTATAACTCCCCCAAAAGAGATGGGACCCCAGTAACAACATTTGTGCCCTCCAACCCTGTTCCCAACCATAAAGGGTTGTTTTAAAGGAATACTTCTCAGCCATGAAAAACAATCAGCTTGCCTTACCTGAGACTTTGAAACTTGGAAAAGAAATGCAATGCCTGAAAAAAATCCTTTGAACTGATTCAATAACAGCAGAGTGTGGACAGATGCTGTTGAGTTCCCTGAGTCTGTCTTTCTGGAGACTTGTTAATTTCTTCCTGGGCCTCAAAAGAAGCATTTTTGCTCTTCCTAAAATATTTTAAAAATTAATTAATTTAGTGGGTGAGCAGGAGTATAAGGATAGACCTGAACACATATTAGAATAAAGAGTCCAGAAGTAAACTCCTGCCTTTATAGTCAATTGATTTTCAACAAGAATGCCAAGACAATTCAATGGGAAAGAATAATCTTTTCAATAAATGGTTCTGGGCTAGAGAACTGAATATCTACAGGCAAAAGAACAAAGTTGCATACCTATCTCACACCATATAGAAAAATTAACTCAAAATTGATCAAGGACCTAAGTGTAAGAGCTAAAATTATAAAAGTCTTAGAAGAAAACATAGGTATAAATCTTCATAGTCTTTGATTAAGCAATGATTTCCTAAATATAATAACAAAAGCATAAGCTACAAAACAAATTAGATCAATTGGGTAATATCCAGATTAAAATTAAACAAAATTAAAAATTTTGTTCTTTAAAGGACACCATAAAGAAAGTTAAAAGACAACCTACAGAATGGGAGAAAGATTTTGCTTGTCATATAGCTAAAAAAATGACTTGTATCAGAATATATTAAGAACTCCTATAATTCAATAAGGAAAGGAAAAGGCAATCCAATTAAATTGGGCAATGGATTTCAATAGATATTCTAAAGAAGAAGTACAAATACCAATGAGGACATACAAAGAAAGTCAACATTATTTGTCACTAGGGAAACACAAATTGAGGTCCCTCTGAATGCTCACCAGAAGGATATAATCAAAAAGAAACTTATGAATGTTGGAGAAGATGTGGAGAAATCATAACCTTCACACACTGTTGGTGGAAACATATAATGGTCCAGCACTTTGGAAAGCAAACTGGAAGTTCCTCAAAACATTAAACACAGAGTTACCATAAGCCCCCGCAATTCACTCCTATGTATTTACCCAAGAGAAATGAAAACGTCTGTCCACGAATGAAATTGTGCATGAACATTCACTTATAGTAGCTTTAGTCATAATAGCCCAAAACTAGAAAGAACTCAGTGTCCATTAACTGAAGAATGGATACATAAAATGTGAAATATCTACGCAATGCAATGTTATTTGGCAATAAAAAGAAATTAAGTACTGATACGTGCTATAACATGGATGACCCTTGAAAATATGCTACATAAAAAAAGCCAGACACAAAAGATCACATATAATATGGTTCTGTTTATATCTAATGTCCACCATGGGAAAATCAATAGAGACAGATCATAGGGTTGTTGAGGGCGGTAAAGAAGGAGAGGAATGTGTTGAGGAACATGGGGTAGTGACTTCTAATGAGCTTATTTTTGGAGTGGTGACAATGTTCTAAAACTGATTGCAGTGATCGTTGTCATGTTTGTGACTATACCAAGAATCAATGAATTGGTCTTCATGGGTGAATCTTATGGAATGTAAACTGTATCTCAACAAAGCTGTTTTTTAGAAAATATGTCAAAAAGTGGATATCAAGGTGTCTTCCTGATGTCCCCAGAAAGTTACGGAGTTCAGTAAGGACTGCTGGAACCAAGAATCAAGTTTACATGTCTAGGAACCTGAAATGTGGTAAGAGCCAGGGTATTGCAATCCTGGGAGGTACCTCCAAGATTGCTTTAGCAGGATTTTTGTGTCCAGCTGTGGGTGTTCCCTAATCCCCAGGCCCTCAGGCTCCAGAGAATAGATAGATTCAAGCTCTGAACCTGAGACCCAGGTGCAAGGAGAATTCCTGGATTCAGCATCTGGTGAGGTTTCATTTGGCCTTTGACCTCAGCAGCTGAAACCTAATATTCTTTAGGCAGGAAATAAATCAGTGCTCTCCAGCTTTACTAGGATCATCAGTGCAGTATGACATGACCATCTGAGGCCAGGGCTCTCTGCCATTAATCAGAATAATTCAGAATACCCAAGATGGATCACTGTAGGGCCTACAATGTCAGATTAATGAATGGGAGAAAGAAAAATTCAAGTTTCCAAGCCTGGTATAAGTAGCTTGAAAACCCATTCATGCCATTTAGACCACGTAATTCACCATTAAGACCCTAAAGGAAAGATCTCCAAACTGGGATGTGTTTACTCCAAAAAAGGGACCACAATCCACTGGGATGTGAGTACATATTACAATTTCTGTGCATGCTTCATTTTGTCTTTCTAAGTTGCTATTTTAAAAATACACAATTAGGAGCTGGGGTTTTGACTCAGTGGTAGGGTGCTTGCCTGGCCCATGTGAGACACTGGGTTCAATCCTTAGCACCACATAAAAATAAATAAATGAAATAAAAGTATTGTGTCAATCTACAACCAAAAATATTTAAATAAATAAATGAAAATACACAATTACTTAATACTTTAGGAAAATATATAAGTGCATTGATTATAAATAGGTAAATTAATGTAAACAAAGGTGCTCAAATCTTTTATTAATCTTTATGTGCAATGTTTTAAAAGTTCAGGAGACTGCTGCTCTGAAGGACCTCTTGGCTTACTGCTAGATGGAGGGGTAAAGATTAACTTAAATGGTACTTTAGTTTACTTTTGAGACCTATCCCCTCCTCCTCCAAAAAAAAAAAATCTCAGATTACATTGCAAAGACTTATTTCTTTAAATTTATTATAATAAGTATTCTTTATTTTGCAATACTATGGATTAAATCCAGGGCCATGCATATTCTAGGCAAGTACTCCCCCACAAAGCTACATCTCCCATCCTTTTGGATTTAATTTTGAGACAGAGTCTTGCTAATTTGCTGAGGCTGGCCTCAAATTTGTTAGTTCCTGGGATTAGAGGTGTGCGCCACCGTGCCCAGCTAAGGCATTTTTTCTTAAACATGATTTGCCATAACAACCTCTAGAGTTCAATTCTCTTTGGATTGGGATGGACCCCATGTATTCAGGCCGGCTTGGATCCCTGAGCTTCCTAATCCTCTTCTCCACTAATTGGGCAATTAGACCTCCAGCCATGGTTTTGCCCTGCTTAGATCTGAAGAATATACTCAGACTTTTAAACTGCTGGGCTTCATGTGCTCTAGTCCAGTGTTCTTGGACAAAATATTAATTCACCTTTGCTACTATTCTAAGTTTAGGCCACATCCTTAATTCCAATACTTGTGTATTGACCCTGAGATATATTTCCAATCAATTCCCTGGTTCTAGTGATTGAATTTTATATTGTTTCCTGTGTCTGAGTCTGAATCTAAAAGACCCACAGCTATAGTTTGTTTGAACATATTTTGCCTGTGTCCTCCAAAGGCTCATGGATTCATGGTACCCAGTGTGGTGGTGTTGAGGTGGTGGATACTTTAAGAGTTGGGGTTTAAGGGAAAGTGGTTAGGTGACTGGGGGTACCAACCTCAGAAAGGATTAATGTAGTCTTCAGAGATTTAGATCCTACAAGTATAAGTTTTTATAAAAAGAGCAAGCCTGGCTCCTGAATTCCTCTGGCTTCTTGTCTCAGCATAGGATCTTTTCCATTTGTACCTCCACCATGTGATACAGCCAGAAGGCCCCCACCAGAACTGAGCAAATGCTGGTGCCATGCTCCCAAACCTCCAGAAATGTGAGCTAAATAAGCATCTTTCCTTTATAAACTACTGGGCTTCTGGTGTTTTGTTAGAGTGACACAAAAAAAGACTAAGACACCCACTCAGTTTTATAAGCATGGAGACCACTAATTCCTGGTTGATCTTTGGGCAAATAATTAGTATCTGGATACCTGCTGACAGAATTTTCAGTGTTTTGGGTTCTTGAAATGTTTACATGTAGATGACAAAATGAAGGTATGTATAATTATCTAAAGTATCCTCATTTACTGATTGTTATCAATTATTAGTAACCAGAAAGAATGTTCATGATCAGTATTTATATATTTCCTTTAGTGAATGATGCCTAACATTTTAAGAACACAAGAGCACAGCCCCAATGCCTTTAAATGTAAAGTAAAACCAATGAAACGTCTCAGTATCTCTGACCTGGAGCCATGGTTAGTTCCTATGGTTCCAGGCCATAAGATCATTGTTGAAAAATGGGTGCTGTATCGGATGGTGAGGAATTCACTTTGTCAAGTAGAATCTCTGAACTCCTAACACCTGCAGGTTGATGAATTCTCTTCTTCCCCATGTCCAGTTGTTCCTGAGTGGATCCTCAAAAACTGCCTCTATGAATTAATTAGTTCTCTGCTTCTTAACTGTTTTCACTTATCTTCTGCTTTCTGGATTAAGATAGATAGATAGATAGATAGATAGATAGATAGATCGATGGATGGATCTCTGTGTGTGTGTGTTTGCATGTGTGTGGATCTGTTACCACGATGCATTCTGAAGGACATCTAGATTTTATTTGTATTCCTGGTTCTTTTTTAACTCCTTCATAGCCCTGAGCACATGACTATCTGGATTTCATGACTAAGAGAACTGGATTTCCTTCTAGTCCAGGTGGAGTCCTGCAGATCAAGACCCATCCCATCTCACTGAATCACTCCTATCAGGATGACTTGATCACCTATTGCCTAATAACCCAACACCTCCAGGAGGTGTGACCAGAGGTTACTACAACCTGTCAAGTCATTTCATCTGCCAGTTTCCTCATGTCTTAAATTGTTACAATTACCTACCTCATGGGATGATTATGGAATAGTGTTTTAAAGACTGGAAAACAATCTTACTTCCCAGGAGTCATAATAGCTAGTCAACACTTGCCAGTGTCTTCAAATTGTTCATAGATTATTTTACATGAATATTTCTTCATAATGTTTCCATCTGAGCATATAAGGATGAAAGTTCTTCTTGGTGTTAAACTTAAATTCTTCTCTAGGAGTCCATCATCCTTGCTTTCTCTGGGAGTACTCACCATCACTGAGCCCAGATCTTTCAGTGGATAGAGAAGGATTGTGGCTTTATCCTAAGCATGCCCTTTGGTAAGTACCATTCAGATCAGAAAGAGATCATTTTTAAAGACATAACACTAAATTTTGCTTTTGACACCTCATTCTTCAGACGTAAATCCCTCCAATGAATATTAAACTGAAAGGGAAGTTAATGGAAAGATTTGAGATTCTGAGAAAAGGAATTAAAATTGAAGAGAAAGGAGAGAAAAACCAGTTTTAGGGGGAAAAATTCAGTCTCTGATACTTAGAGCTGAATTACCTGGAGGTGCACTACCTAGCTGTAAAAGCTTGGGAAGGCGATCTGATCTGAAAGCTGTCTGATCCCCAAGCTTATCCGTAAAATGTACATGGGCACGATTGATATGCTGTAGCAAAGAGATCAAGCATAAGAATATTCTTACAAGAAATAAAAACATAAAGACACATAAAATATCTTTAAATAGAAGTATAAAAAACATATTTCTCATCACAATAATTCCTCAGTGAGTATTCAGGATGATCGGGGGTAAGGGTGGACCTGCTTTGCACCTTCAGTTAAGGGTCCAGTATATTATGAATCTCACGAGTCAGTGGCCACAGAGATGTATAACTATAATCCCAGCTACTCAGGAGACTGAAGCAGGAGGATCACAAGTTTGACTGAGGCCAGGCTGGGTAACTTAGTGAGACCCTATCTCAAAATAAAAATTTTTAAAGGGCCAGGAATGTAGCTCAAAGGTAGAGCACTTGCTTAGCATGCACCAGGCTCTGGGTTCAATCTCTTGTACCGCAGACAACCCCATGAGCGTGTGTGTTAATCCATTTTTCATCCTTCTGGGGCATGTGGTTGCCCATCTATGCTGTTTCCTACTTTGCGGCATGAAGTGGCAAAGAACTTCTCAAACACAATCTCAAAAACATAAACTGGCAAGGTGAAATTTGACAAATTTGTTTGCATAAAAAATAAAATTTTTTGCAAAAACACCATAAATACCTGGGGTTCTACATAGAGATTTGGGTAGATGAACTGATATCCACTCATGGACACTTATGGTATAATTTATCTGTTACCCAGTTCAGAGAAATTTGTGTTTGTTTCTAGTTTGGGGCAATTATAAATAAAATCACTGTAAATATTCACATATAGTTTTTTACGTGAACATAAATTTTCATTTCACAGATGAATGCTTAGAAGTGAGATTTCTAGACCATCTGATAAGCATGTGTACTTAACTTTATAAGAAGCTACCAAATTCTTTTCTGAAGTGGTCAACCATTCTGCATTTCCACCAGCAGTACCAGAGAATCCTGGCCACTCCTAGCCTGCCCTGTGATTGGTGTTGCAGGATACTGGCTTTGTTTTTGAATTCTAGTTATGTGAATAGGTGTGTACCTCATTGTAGTTTTAATTTGTGTTTTCCTGATGCCTAATGGTGTTAGTAGTCACCACCTTTTCATGTACTTACTTACCATTCATCTACCTTCCTTGGTCAAGTATCTGATCAAGTTTTTTCTCCATTTTTAAAAAATATACTTTTCTACTGTTGAGTTTTGAGAGTTCTTTATACATTCAGGATGAATGTCTTTTATCACATATGTAATTTTCAAATGTTTTCTCCCATTCTGACTTGCCTTTTAATTATATTTACAAACTCTTTCAAAATGTAGAGGTTCTTAAAGTTCAATAAGGCTTTTTTTCCATGGATAGGGCTTTTTGCGTAATTTCTAATATATATATTTCTAACCCAGGCCACAGAGATTTTTCTCCTCTATTTTCTTATAAAAGTTTTAGAGTTACAAGTTTTATATTTAGATCCATGGTACACTTTGTGTTGTTTTCTATTTATGGAGCTAGATAGGGATCATTCATTTTTTTGCACATGGATAATATTCCTGCAAATTTATTGAAAAGACTTTCCTTTGTACTGTGTGTTGCTTTCCAATCTTTGTCAGAAACAATTTACCACTATGTTTAGATTCTCTTCTGTCCGGTTGTTCTATCTTTTTTCTAAAACTATACTCCCTTGACTACTGTGGTTTGAAAGTGAGTCTTGAGGGCTAGGGTTGTGCTCAGTGGTAGAGCACTTGCCTAGTACTGCGAGGCCCTGGGTTCAATATTCAGCACCATATAAAAATAGATAAATAAATAAAGGTATTGTGTCCAACTACAACTAAAAAAATATATATTTTTTTAAAAAGTGAGTCTTGAAATCAGTTAATAAGAGTCTATCCCATAGTTTCTTTTTATAATTTTAACACAATACAGCAAAGGAATTACAGAATAACAATTTTACTAACAAAATCAAATTAGGGGGGCTGGGGATATAGCTCAGCTGGTAAAGTGCTTGTCTCACATGTGCAAGGCCCTGGGTTCGATCCCCAGCACTACAATAAAAAAATTATAAAAATTAGAGAAAATAGAAAGATAAAAACTCATGATAAACTCTCACATGTTGGACGCAGTGGCACATACCTGTCATCTCAGATGCTGGGGAGGCTGGGGCAGGAGGATCTCAAGTTCAAAGCCAGCCTCAGCAGCTTAGTGATGCTCTAAGCAACTTAGTGAGACCCTGTCTCTAAATAAAATATAATTTTTAAAAAGGGCTAAGGATGTGGCTCAGTGGTTAAGGGTACCTGGGTTCAATCCCTGGTACTGTAATAGTAGTAGTAGTAGTAGTAGTAGTAGTAGTAGTAGTAGTAGTAGTAGTAAAATAATAATAATAATAATAACAACACCTCTCACATGTATAAAACATGTTTCTTTTAAGCCAGAATATGATAAATACATATGCCTACCAAAATGTTAGTCGTTTTTATACTGTACAATATTAGCAAACTGATTTTAAGATAGAAAACATAACTATTTGCTTCCTAGTATGATTTTCGCTCTCAATGGAATTTCTAATTTTCAAGCAACTCACCTTCTCCATTCCTTTAATATTTAGAGGAATTAAGCAAAGTGGAACTTTTATTCTGCCACTGACCTCTACACTGGCATGTAATCCACATTAATCTCAAAATAGTATAAAATAGAAAATAAGATCAACAAATGGAAATAACAAAATCGTAATCAGTCCAACTTTTACTTTTCTATGGCAAGGTTATTGCTTCACAATTATTCTTAGGCTGAAAGGGGAGATAAACTAAAAGTCAACCTTAGGCAATTTTAATAACTTACACACATTCAACATTTATTTATTTATTTGTTGCTGTGCTGGGGACCAAACCCAGGGCTTTGCACAGGCTAGGCAAGTGCTCTGCTGCTGAGCTACATCCCCAACCCACATGTATTTAATTTTTAAATGAAACCTGCAGCAGAGTAAGGAAGGCAGATGGCAACGTCAGCAGTCAGGCCCTTCGTCATAGTACTACTGCCTTATCCACCTTCTTGACTTTAACCACCACCTCCTTGGGAGCAATAGTTCTAGCCCAGGAAGTACCCAGCCAGAGAATCTCAGTTCACTTTCTGTGATGAAGCAACAATAATAGAATTTCCCATGCAGAGCTGTAGAAAAGATTCAGTGAAATTAGGTGTGCAGGAACTTAGCACCAAGATCAATACATATAAATTCTCAAGAAATTTATACTACCATGAGTAACCATTTTGCAGTGTGCAGTTTCTTCTGATGTTTGAAGCTGGGAGCCTGGAGAGCAGAAAGACCAGAGACCTGAGTCCCACAGAGGAAGTGGGGCCAATGAACAGAGAATGTGAGCAAGAAGATCCTTGAATTGCTGCTGAGGAAAGAGCTGACTGATAGTTAATAAATGACGAGGTAAAGGGAAGATAGTATAGGTGTCTGGTTACTCCTTAACCAGTGTCTACTGCCACCTCCTGTCAATTTTGTCAAAGTCCAGAATGCCTCTTGGGAGGTCTCCAAACTAACCCACTAGCACCCAAAGGTGCAATGAGCAAAGTAGAATTTACTGAGTGTTTCGTAAGCAAAATACAGAAAAAGCATCAGTCATAGCCCCCTAAGCACACAGCTTCATGAATTCTCCTGGGTCAATGGTTCTGTCAATTACCAGCTCTTCTAGCCACCTCCTCAGCCCTTGCCTGCACAGTGCTCAGATTCTCCTCAACAGGTTCTTGAAATCCAGTGATTTAGCATGTTACTTGAGAACCAAACTTGAAAGTTCTTTCTGCCTGCACTCCTGAAATGAAATGGAACCAAAGTAACGCCATTTTGTTCTGATCTGACTCCACTGTAAAATGTTTTCTTTTGGGCCTCCTGACAGCTGTATCTATGTTGACAGTACAGCAGGACCTTCCCTTGTCCCTGACTATGGCCTCGATGTATAACAAAATGACTCTAAAATGTATAATAAAAACAATTCTCTCATGTAATCAAAATATGTCTCAACAGGGTCTTTCTGACCTACATGTGCCTCTATTGTTCTTGTGGTTTTTGTGGGTTTTGCTTTTATAAACTCTGTACTTCCAAAATTCAAATGCTGGGGAAATCTTTAAGACATGAGGCTGCTCCCAGCTGCTTGCCTGGCTCATTAAAAGACCTTTTTGTCCCCCTTCAATTTGGCTTAATATGCATGGTGGTTTGTAATTCTCACGCACACAATAACTCTCCCAATCCAAGTCACCTACCAAAGTTGTTCTTCCAACCAATGCCAGACTGTATGAGAAGGGTCCCAGAAAATACATTTTCCTCTATGTTTGTTCCTTAAGGGGGACAGAAAAAGAAGAGAAACTACATGGCCTGTAGGCTTAAAGAAAGAACCATTCTCTGGGCACGGTGGCACAAGCCTGTACTCCCAGTGGCTCAGGAAGCTGAGGCGTGAGTATCAAGAGTTCAAAGTCAGCCTCAGCAAAAGTGAGGTACTAGGCAACTCAGTGAGACTCTGTCTCTAAATAAAATACCAAATAGGGCTGGGATTGTGGCTCAGTGGTCAGTGTCCTTAGTTCAATCCCTAGTACCTACAAGAAAAAAGAAAAAAGAAAAAGAAAGAACTATTCAAAATAGACAAAACTTGAAAATGTTTAGAAGCAAAAGCAGAGGCGGAGAGAAGATATTGGACCCCCTGGAGTCTGCCAGTCCAGTGAATCTCTTGATGGAATTTTATAAACGATAAGGAAAATTATACTGCTTGGTTAACACACATCACCTCTTTCAATCTTCCGTAAAGCTCAACAAGTTGGGTAACATCCTTCTTTATCAGAACAGGAAACTGCAGTTTAGCATCGCAGTAACTTGCCCAAGTTCACATGGCTAGTATGGAGAGGACTTGGGACTACCTGCTCTTCTGACTCATCCATTCAAGTGGGGTGTTTGCCACACCTTTCAGTCTTTGAAGAGAATAAAGGTGATCGGATCCGGAGGGTAGGGTAAAATGGGACTGTCAACCCCAAGAATCAAAATTAGTTTAAGCAATCAGAAAGCTTCTTATGTTAGGTAACAAAAGAAGCCCAAAAGTCCAGAAATAGGGCAGTTCCTGGACTGCAGTTTCTACTCTTCCATGGATTCCTTGGTAATGGCCTCCTCCTTAGGCTGGACTAACCCTCAAGGAAGCCCCCAGTGAGGTGCTTGAGGCATGACATTCAGATGATATCCTCAGGACAGAAAAAGAGTCATCTCTTCCAGTGAAAACTTACCACTCCTCCATTCCAAGACTCCTCTTGTACCTTATTGGACAGAACTGGGTCACATTCCCACCTCTACAGCATTCATCTGGAAAGGGGACTGGAATTACCGTCAAATGGCTTAAACTGATCAAATCTGACTGTTGGAGATAGGATAGCTGGGAAAATTAGAAACACTTTGGAATGAGAAAAAACAGATTATAAGTCCAGCAATTCTTCCAGGTTTTCTCTATCTTTCATTGTCTTGAGCTATGTGAGAACTCTATCAGTTGTAGAAAACTAATGATAATGCAAGCAATCCTTATCTTAAGAAATGCAAATAAAGTATGTATAGTGGAAGGCAACTGATCATTGCCTGGTCCAGTTATGCATCTATTTTGAAATTTATCTCAGTAGTCCTTATCTGCCTGTATGTGTATGATTATTTAAATTCTTCTTTGAACTGGTTATAACATCTTACTGGTTCCCTCCTTAATTAGTGGATTAAATAAAATTTTGACACGAGTTCCGTTTGTGTTTAGATGAGACTTGTGATTTTCATAACATCCTTTTGCAAGACTCTTCTTTCATGAGATATTATAGCATATGGTGTTTTTATGTTAAGTTTGCCACCTACAACCTCAAAGTGCAAAACCTGGGATCCATTTCCAATGGATGTCATTTACATTTCAAATGTAAATTTGTTAGAACTTGATACTGATGAAGTGCTAGAGAGCAACCTTTTGAAAATACAGCACCACATGTTTTATTCTCTTACTGAAACCCCTTTGAAATCTCATCTTCCATTCCTCTCAATGTATTTCTTTGAGGCTATATGTTTTTTCTATTATATATGCTACTAAAACAAAACATAGAAATAGGTTAGATATACATTATTCCCTGTGAATAGTGTTACTATGAAATTTAGTTAATAAGGAAAAACAAAATAGAGTTGTCATATTAAAAAGATGAATATCATGTTAATACACATGATATTCCTTGAGAGTACAGTAGAAGCATTTGCTACGGGGAACAATTGCATTCATAATTATTTGTTTAGGTTTAAGTGCAACACAACAAAAAGTTGTAAACTGGAAGATAAGGCTCCACCTGGGCTTCAGAAGCAGCAGGTGAGACGGGGCCACAGTGGTATCCTCCTCCAGACCTGGATTAGGCCCAGCAGCTCAGTGGTCACAGCTGCCCTGGTGGAGGGATACAGGGAGGGACTGTTTGATTCCCCACTGGCCCCATAGCCACCTGGAAGGAGAAAATGACCAGAACCCCAGAAGTCCACAGCTGGGCATTGAGCCCCCACCCAAGAGCTGGCATGAGCTGTAGTCGCAGTGGGATCCCCACCTTACCATCATTGCTTTCTCCCTCCCCCAGATCACATGCAGCAGCCCCAGGAGATGGGGAACTGCCTCAGATCCCCCATCTCAGATGACCTCTCCCTGCTTCACGAGTCTCAGTCAGACCTGGCTCACTTTGGCAAGGGGATGGGGTGTATCAGGGGATGCAAGATCCAGTTCCAGCTTATCACCCACCCCCTGGCCCGACTCAGCTAGTAACTCAGCTAACTAAAGTGGAAGGAATCAGGATGGTGCAAAAAACAGGCCTTCTACAGCATCTGCCCAGAGAAGGGAATGACCTTGCAGGGGATGGATCAAGGAAAACGACCCTGGAGTGTTTGAGCCGAATGATGAGCATTGTTTATGAGGACCCAATTTGATTTCTGTTGTTTTGCAGATCTGTCACCTGGCCTGTGCAAATGACTGGTTAATGAGGTCCTTCATGGAGCTAGTTGGTGCAGCCCTGTTTCCATCCTATGAGAGCAACTGAACCAGGGTCTCTCCTCTGACTTCAAGTGAACCATCATTTATGGTGATTTTGATTTTTAGTCACTGAACCCAACGGACAAGGGATTAGGAATTAAGCTCATATGCAAATCTCCAAAAAGTTCCTGGATGGGGGGCTAGGGTTGTGGCTCAGAGACAGAGCGTTTGCTTAGCATGTGTAAGGCATTGACTATATATATATAAATTCCTGGATGCCTGCAGATGTTGAGGAAAGTATGTGATATTTTAGAAATTTGGGGTGGGGGAAGTAGAATGGTATTTTTATGTAAAATTTTGACCTAATGTTTAAAAATGTAATTGTATTTAGATCTTGTTATTTATTGCTCTTGTACATAGGAATTGTAAAATGTATTATAGCCACTGTATATGTTTAAACTGTGTGTGTTGAGGATTAGGGAAAATGATAATGATTTTTTTTTCCTAAATGAAATAACTTTCTTTTCTCCATCCAAATTCTTTTCTGAAGTTATTGGTGTTTGGATCAGGTTTTATTAAAAGCCACATTTTGTAACACCCGCACACAAAAAAAAGTAGCTTTAAATTTGTTTGCACAGTTCTTTCTTTCTTTCTTTCTTTCTTTCTTTCTTTCTTTCTTTCTTTCTTTCTTCTCCATTTGAGATGAAATTCATTGCCTTGGGTCTTTTTAAATAATGTGTTATCTTTGGGGCTGACTCTATGCTTCAAAACCAGAAAATGCTATATTCTGTTTGTAGTTAGGAAATGCAGAATTCAAAGTGATCCCCTAGCGTGTAAGCAAACCAAGATGCACTATGACTTTTCTTTTAAAAAAATAAGTTCATGTGTCAATAAATTAACTCTAGCAAAGTGGGTTTAATATTTACAAAGTTTTAAACTGATTCTTGTTATTAGTTTCCTAAATCCATGTTTTCAATATACCAGTATAATTTGTGGAACTCTTTATTTTTATTATTATGATCTTGTTCTAATTATTTTTATTGAAATGTAATTTTGTCTCTTTAGACTCTATTTCTAAAAAAATGAAGCTTATTTATTTCATGGATTTTAAAATTAATTTTTTCCTATAAGTCATGCTAGCTATTTTATAAAAGTGCTGGTTTTCTATGGACTGGAAATCTAGAAAACTGGTTCTTTACTACTGACAGTTTGAGAAGCGCTACTATGCTTCCCAAACTTTATGTGCATATGAATCACTGAGCACCTTGTTAAAAAGCAGATTCAAATTTAGTAGGTTGGGTAGAGTTTGAGAGTCTGCATTTCTACCAAGCTTCCAGGAATGCTGCTAATAAGAGAAACCCATTTTGAATAGGATGACTATTCAACTGGTGATTCC